TGGCGAAGCGCATCTTCTACTCTGAACTTGAGGAGGGTAAGCGGAAACATGGCGGTCAACTCCTCAGGTACAAAGATGTACAGAAGCGGCACATGAAAAGATGCAACATTGAGCCCTCTCAGTGGGAAGGTTTGGCAGCACAGCGTCCAGAATGGCGGGAGATTGTGAAAAGGCAAGTCCACGAGTTCGAGGTGCAGCGTACGACTGAACTAGACGCGAAGCGCGATGACTTGAAGGCCCGTCCATCTGCCGCCATTCACTATAACTATGTTGGCGGCGTGCTCAGATGCCCTCAATGCGCGAGGGATTTTACCGCGAAAATAGGCTACGTAAGCCATCTTCGGGCACACCAGCGCCGCCAAGACAGCTAGGAGTCGGAGTGGTCGCCATGGCCGAAATCGGTCGGATGGATCATCACTGAATGACTTCATATGCCATGTGTTTGTATAATTTTTTTGGTGAAAAAGGAAAATAAAACCAAAAGAACTACCATTTTTTCTGAGCTGTCAAAAAGCGATACGCCCATTAACACCTACTGTATGGCAATATAAATCTATGACGTCACGTTTCACGTGTTAGATTTATGATATTACTGAATGGTCTGTTTATTTTCATAGCAATTAGAACCTAATTTTATAGTCATTAGAAATGAAATTAGTTTTTGTAGGCTAAAATGGAGTGTAGTTAGAGCACAAAACTCTTGACCTATCGCTTGCTAGCTGACTGTTAGTGTCTCCGTAGTCAATACAGTCGCCCTGAAAGCAACAGCTCATGGGTTCGAATCCCAATAATTATTATACTGCCGATACTGATCCACCGCTACCGATGTGAGCGAACACTCCGGATTCACACACAGCACACATTTAAAAAGTCCAAACGCAGCGATTGGGTCACTTTTCGGAAGCTCGACGCAGCGACAGCGACCGAATGCATCGAGTCGCGACATCGCGATACTGTATGGATAATCGCAAAATCGTCGTACGCCGATGCTAGTAACTAGTGTGTCCCTAAGCCCATGTACGCAAGCTTGGATTTTTAAGTAAGCGCCCAACCGAAAGACCGAATATGCGCAGAGAGAAACGCTAAGCAGTCTAAAAACCGCTCTGATGTGCTGATGCTCATAAATACCAGTTCAAAATAGCCACGAATAAATGCCTAAGTGCCAATCCACTAAATTAATTAAGTAGGTATTATATCATTCACCAATTACCTGTGCAGTCGTCTAAATCCGTTTAACTCCATCTACCGGACGTCTGCAGCATCACACGCAAATAGCTTACAAGCGAAATTGAAACAAATTGCCTTCGATCCGACCGAAATAGAGGCGAGTATCGATCAAGATGCACGCTCAAGTTCGCAAACGAGTTCTGTGCTAGACTAGTTTGAGTCTATGGCTCTGATTGGCTTGGTATTATTAGGTGTTGCGCAACGGTTTATGATAAAGGTCGCGGGTTCGATTCCCGCATTACAATTGTATGAATGAGTAAGAATTTTGTATAATACTAATTTGGCGTTAGTGGTTGAGAAATGGACTACTACGGTAGATATCTAGGGTTCGATGCCCGCGCATATAAAACAAATTGACATGAAAATCTGGATATGATTTCCAAATAAAGCTTGAAGTATGTTTTAATATACTAATAAAATAAATGAGCAAAGCTTTTATAGTAGCTATAAAAGTTATGCTCAGTTTGGGAATAGATAGCGTAGCGTAAAATAATCAAGGATATTTAATTTAAGTTATTCAGATAGGTATTGTCAATAATCCACAGTAAACAGGTCATTATGAAGCCGAAGAAGATTGGCTTTGTTTTAATTATTTCTATTCTGTTGCTTAACCCTTCTAAGATCCCTAAGAAGAAGAAAAGAAACTACATAAAACATAGAAAAGTTTCATCAAAATTAGCCGAGAAGTTTTGTGCATGAGGTCTATGGACAATAATGGACATCCATCCTCACTTACTTTCCCATTTAAATAATTTCAGTCATGACCATTATTTTGTTATAAGATATTATTGCTCACTAAACTTATAACAAAGCATTTTACGTAGAGAACAAAACTAAAGTAATTATAATATTCGTCACGGAAAGCTTGAGGTGACCCAATTCCCAGTTTAATAGCCACACGTTATATTTGTGGTCGGGTCGGTCGGTGCAAGCGACGTGGCGCCATTTTAATTTTATTTAAACAATAATGCAGATTAGTTTCCTGGATTGTTTAATAAATTAATGCAGTTTTATGTGCTGTTAATATGACGTAAACATACCCTATTTCTGAGGGTTATAAGAATTTATTTTCTTCAGCTTCTTATTGTGTTATTTTATAGAGCACAGCAAAATTAGATGTAGGTCAAGAAATAATAACATCAGAACTAAGGTAGCAATAGGCATAATAATTGTTAAATTGTATATTCATAATTTGGCAAAAGTAAAATCCTAAGCACAAAGTGGAAACGTAAATATTGCAATTATTATTAAGCTTGGAGTACACAGAGCCGATGCGTGAAATAAATACCGATTTAATTGTTACGCGAGACTGTCTACCCCGAGTGAGATTTTAATTTGTAATTAGTTGGTTTTAATAATTTTTTGTCCTTAGTTTATGTTGCAATATAAAATATTATTTTTGAAACTTGAACCTTTGACCAAATAAAGTCATATTAATTTTATGTCAACCCCTGCAGTAAGTTACTTCTTTCTTCAATTCACGAAATTAAAAAAATCTTTTCAACACCGAATAAAATAAGCACATTATTTTCAAAATATTTTGAAGTCTTTTGTAGTACAAATTTTGTGTACTTGTCAAAGTACCTACTAGCCTTTGGCACTACAGTCGTACAGACAAGCTCGAAAGTGGCTTTACTCCCCGCCGGACGACGCTGCTTGAATAATTTAGCCGCTCAGCTATTCGTGAGCTGGTGTAAATATAGGGGCTTATACTGGAAATGTACGGAACCCTCGAATTTGTCTCAAAAGGATTAGTCTGTTTGGGGAAAGCTGGAGTACTGGTAAATAATATGCTGAATTTTCGTTGAAAAATATGAGATGTTTTTCTTTATCGTCAACTTTCGAAGAATATCAATTCTTCGAAAATTTGAACTAACCTAGTTCCAGACTACTTAATATGAGTCTATTTCTGAAGGCCTATTGGATCGATCCAATAGATATAAATACTAATAGTTAGTTAACTAACGCCAGAAACACTTTCATTACTATGTACTTTGTGTGATCCACTTTGTAATCGGGGCAAAGATTCAAGTCTTAAATAAAGTACATTTATCAATAGATATGTTCGTAGGTTGTTTGGAAGCGCACTCCATATGGCTTCAAGTACTTTAATGGACAATGTGAAATAACATTTATACGAAAAATAGGATCCGATTATTTTATTACATTTACAACTTCAACTTTTAATCCTTTACTTTTTTTAGCGTTTTTGCTTTCGTCAGGCCTCCGTCACTCGCCTATGCCGGCCGAGATAATTACCTACAGCGCGCGACAACTTCAAGTTGCAAATCAGTTCGGGCCGCCACGCGCCTGTTTGCACACGCGTATTTCTATACACGCTCGGTCGATCATTGTCACAATCAAGGTTTATTGTTCCAACAGCACTGTTATCCTTCTTTAATGGAAAATCGTAATATTTAGAAATTATAATGAATTAGAAGTAGTAATTTAAATAATTAAAAAAAACTACACTTTATAAATAATTTTGAAATATGACAAAAAACTGTAGCAAAAAAAAATATTTTAGCTAATATAAACATTAACGTTACTTCACCGTGTCTATTTTCCGACACTACACCTTTTAAAACTGTTTGTCCAATTTCGAATTATCGCAACACTGAAATTTATTAATAGGTACTTTAGAGATGGTACGATTATACAAACACCACTAGATTAACCCTTAAGTAACACCGTGGGGTAATTTTTTACCCCAGGCGCATAAAAATTGACATATCTTTTTTTCTAGCGTAGCTAGTGCAATGTCGTTTTGTGTATTCTCAATCCAGAGTGTGCGCTTTAAGCTCGTAGATGCGGGATGTGAAAAAAATCATCCGTTTGGCTTGTACAGGTAGGTGGGGCAGAAATTTACCCCAGGGTGTTAGTTACGCATACTTTAATTTATCATCACCTAACATGTTATTAATAGGTTTTTACAACATTGAAACAAAATGAGTAAATATTTATATGGTGATTAAGTAGCACANACAACAGTATAAAAATAATCTCAACAATATTTTTTTTTGTAGTCATGATATCTATTGTACTCTATTTTTTTAAATAAAATTGATAAATAATATAATTTACCATAAATAATATGAAATATGCCTTCTTGAATACATTGTACATATTTTTTTTGTTTTCTGTCTAGGAATTTCAAAAATATTTCCGAAAGCACTTGTTAAAACGTATTTTTAAATATTTTTATGTAAAATAATCACTTTAAGCTTACTGTCACAATCATTTTTACAAAATAACAACAGTTTGGTTTTTCAAAATATTTTAAAAAAGATACCGTACCACATAGGGTACGGTAGGTCTAAATGGGTTAATATGAGTCTATTTCTGAAGGCCTATTGGATCGATCCAATAGATATAAATACAACTTGTTAGTTAACTAAAGCCAGAAACACTTTTATTACTACATATGTACTTTATGTGATCCACTTTGTAATCGGGTCAAAGATTCTAGTCCGAAATAAAGTACATTTATCAATAGAATGTTCATAGGTTGTTTGGAAGAGCATTCCATATGGCTATAATGGACAATGTGAAATTACATTTATACGAAAAATAGGATCCGATTATTTTATTACATTTACAACTTAAACTTTTAATCTTTTACTTTTTTAAAATTTTTGCTTTCGTGTAGACTTTGCCTTACAAAAACCAAATGTTCTAAAAAGTTTTTACATAATTTCTATACATTCAGCACTGGCCGCAATTTTTTTTGTAAAATTCGAATTCAAAATCGACAATCGAACGATGTGTTTTGATTCGGCTCATTTGTTTTAAGTCTGCTTGTCTAGAAGGTCGAGATATCGGTCGGTGATTTGTATTTGAAATAGAAATAAATAATTAGTAAAGCGTAAATATGAGGGAAATAGTGCATATTCAGGCTGGTCAATGCGGCAACCAGATTGGTGCTAAGGTAAGGTTTAAAAATTCGTATTTACTTTGTTGCTGGAGCTACCTTGGTAATTATTTTTCTAAAAAATCCGCTATACTAATTTAGCTCTATTAATCCAGTAAAATATTGTATAAATCACCTTGTAGACCAGCAAAATTGTTGTCACCAGTTTATTTTGAGCGTTTTAAGACTTATGACTGGTTGCTGTTCAGGTATGATCTTTCAGTTGGTCACTGACCTAGAAACTGACCAAGTAAACGTAGGTAGTTATCGCCATTAAAGCCCTCTAGTGTCAAATATTGACATTTCTGACACTTTATTTGTGTTAAGTCTTGTTGTTTTCGTTCAGTTTCGTCGATCTAAGGCTGGGTTGCATCGTCTTTACTATAAAAACGTCAAGTCTACTATCAAACTCCATACAAAAAGTACTGGTTAATGTTACAGGCTTCGGCTAAAGATAGTGCAACTCGGCCTTAGTCTGTCTATTGTAAATGTAATCAAGACGAAATTGAAAACCTGCATTGTTTATTAAGCTTTTCTATTGTTACAGTTCTGGGAAGTGATATCAGACGAGCATGGCATCGATCCCACTGGCACCTACCACGGAGACTCCGATCTGCAGCTGGAGAGGATCAACGTGTACTACAACGAGGCCACGGGCGGCAAGTACGTCCCCCGAGCCATCCTGGTGGACCTGGAGCCCGGCACCATGGACTCCGTGCGATCAGGGCCCTTCGGACAGATCTTCAGGCCCGACAACTTCGTCTTCGGCCAGTCTGGAGCTGGAAACAACTGGGCCAAAGGCCACTACACCGAAGGCGCGGAGCTGGTAGACTCCGTTCTGGACGTCGTCAGGAAAGAAGCNGATTTACATGATACTTTTCGAACTTTGAAGACATCCCTTCAGAACAGAGCGTTCATAAATTCGACACAGAAATAGAGCTTAAAAATGATAATTACGTAGTAATTCAGCGTGTCTGATGTTTTTGAAAAAAATAATTGGGAATAAAATAAATAAAAAATATTTTAAAATATTTTTTCATAATTTTATAAAAAAATAAGTTTTTTTATTTTGCTTTATTATAAAGCCAGAAATTTTCGTTTTATTTCATTTTGTATTTAAAATATGCATAAAACATATATTTAATGTCCGATTAGTGTAAGTTTTTGGTTCCCACAATAACTTTCCAAGATGTTTCTAGAAGACCATTGTGGAGACTATTAGTTGCCAATGACAAATTATTTGTTTTTTTTTATGATTGATTTAAGGTGTTTCTTTACGCTAGATAGACGTTATTTTAAAGCAATCGTATAATTCAGTGAGTCCATTAATACATTGTAAATCACAAAATTAAATTGATTTTAAATATTTACTTAAAATGTTTCAATTTCCGTTTGGGGTAATTTTTTGCCCCAGGGTGTTCAAAGTGTAACCAAAAATAAGGATGTTACTTAAGGGTTAAAGTTTACCAATCGTAAATACAATAAATGCTTCTTAAAATTTAGTTTTTATTTATTTTACTTTGCTTATACAACCCTGACGCTTGAGCTGTGAGGTAGATCAATTCTGAACACAAAAAAATTGCGCTCTTGTGAGCGTAGTGGTAAGGTGCGATTTCCAATGCACCATGTGCGTTGGATATTTTGCATTATTATTATTACCGTTAAAATATCGGCATCTGATCCTACACAAAGGAGTGCAATTTCTGTTGCTACTATTATGTATTCTGTGCTTTCGTGTAGACTTTGCCTTACAAAATCCAAATGTTCTAAAAAGTTTTTACATAATTTCTATACATTCAGCACTGGCCGCAATTATTTTCGTAAAATTCGAATTCAAAATCGACAATGGAACGATGTGTTTTGATACGGCTCATTTGTTTTAAGTCTGCTTGTCTAGAAGGTCTAGATATCGGTCGGTGATTTGCTTTTGAGATAGAAATAAATAATTAGTAAAGCGTAAATATGAGGGAAATAGTGCATATTCAGGCTGGTCAATGCGGCAACCAGATTGGTGCTAAGGTAAAGTTTAAAAATTCGTATATTTACTTTAAATTGCTGGAGCTACCGTGCCAATACATTTTCTAAAAAATCCGCTACATTAATGTAGCTCTATTAGAAGTGTAAAATAACTGTGTCACCTTGTAGACCAGCAAAATTGCATTAAGATCGCCTGTTGTACCACTGTGTGCAATAAAGATTTTAAATAAATAAATAAAATTGTTGTCACCAGTTTTATTTTGAGCGTTTTGAGCCAAAAGACTGGTTGCTGTTCAGCCTAGAAACTGGTCAACTAAACCAAAGTAGTTTTCGCCGTTAAAAAGCCCGCTAGTGTCAAATCTTGACATTTCTGACACTATTTGTGGTCTTGTTGTTTTCAGTCAGTTTCAAACTATTTACTATTTACTACTCTTGTCAAGACAAAATTGAAAAACTGCATTATTTGTTTCAGTTCTGGGAAGTGATATCAGACGAGCATGGCATCGATCCCACTGGCACGTACCACGGAGACTCCGATCTGCAGCTGGAGAGGATCAACGTGTACTACAACGAGGCCACGGGTGGCAAGTACGTCCCCCGAGCCATCCTGGTGGATCTGGAGCCCGGCACCATGGACTCCGTGCGGTCAGGGCCCTTCGGACAGATCTTCAGGCCCGACAACTTCGTCTTCGGCCAGTCTGGAGCTGGAAACAACTGGGCCAAAGGCCACTACACCGAAGGCGCGGAGCTGGTAGACTCTGTTCTGGACGTCGTCAGAAAAGAAGCAGAAGGCTGCGACTGTCTCCAGGGCTTCCAATTGACACACTCGCTCGGCGGTGGTACCGGTGCTGGTTTGGGAACGCTCTTAATCTCGAAGATCCGGGAAGAATACCCTGACCGCATCATGAACACTTTCAGCGTCGTCCCATCCCCAAAAGTGTCTGACACTGTTGTCGAGCCCTACAACGCTACCTTATCCGTGCACCAGCTGGTAGAAAACACTGACGAATCATACTGCATTGACAACGAGGCGCTTTACGATATCTGCTTCCGAACACTAAAGCTGACCACACCGACCTACGGCGATCTGAACCATCTCGTCTCCGCTACGATGTCTGGTGTCACCACTTGCCTCCGATTCCCTGGTCAACTGAACGCGGATTTGAGGAAACTGGCTGTCAATATGGTGCCGTTCCCTCGTCTGCATTTCTTCATTCCTGGATTCGCGCCCTTGACATCTCGCGGCAGTCAACAGTACCGCGCGCTGACAGTTCCCGAGTTGACGCAGCAGATGTTTGATGCGAAGAACATGATGGCTGCATGTGACCCTCGCCATGGCAGATATCTGACCGTGGCAGCCGTATTCAGAGGCAGGATGTCCATGAAGGAGGTCGATGAGCAGATGATGAATATCCAGAACAAGAACTCGTCGTACTTTGTGGAATGGATTCCGAATAACGTAAAGACTGCCGTGTGTGACATCCCACCGCGAGGCTTGAAGATGTCTGCTACCTTCATTGGGAACTCGACGGCTATACAAGAGTTGTTCAAGCGTATTTCTGAGCAGTTCACTGCTATGTTTAGACGCAAGGCCTTCTTGCATTGGTACACTGGCGAGGGTATGGACGAGATGGAATTCACAGAAGCCGAGAGTAACATGAACGACCTGGTGTCTGAGTACCAGCAGTACCAGGATGCCACTGCCGAGGAGGAGGGCGAGTTCGACGAGGAAGAAGAGGGTGGTGATGAAGGAGACTAGACTATTTTTGTTAAGGTTTTCATTATATTATATTGTATTTTTATATTTTATCGTTTTATTATATTTTTATGCATAGCTTAGAATGAGTTTTCATGTCACTATTTCTCAATGTGTAATACATTTGAGACTAGAATAGGAAACTTTATGAATGCGAAAGCGGGTCCATTTTAAGGGAGTGCAGGTCCTCTTTTAGCGAGTGCAGGTCCTCTTTTAGGGAGTGTAGGCCCTTTTTTAGGAAGTGTAGACCCTCTTTTAAGTAGGGAGTGCAGGCCCTCTTGTAGGGAGTGCAGGCCCTCTTGTAATGAGTCCAGATCCTCTTTATGGGAGTGCAGGCCCTCTTGTAGGGAGTGCAGGCCCTCTTGTAATGAGTCCAGATCCTCTTTATGGGAGTGCAGGCCCTCTTGTAGGGAGTCCAGATCCTCTTAATGGGAGTACAGGTCCTCCGTTAGGGTATCCTGTAACTGGATTGGCCACACTCTCCGAAGGGACCCCGATCACATCCCTAAGCAGGCTCTGGATTGGAATCCCCAAGGAAAACGCAAACGTGGTCGACCCAGGCAAACTTGGCGGCGCCGCGGCGCACTGTAGCGGACGAGGCGAAGAAGATCGGCAAGACCTGGAGCGAGATCAAGCGAGAAGCTCAAGACCGAACGAGATGGAGGACTGTTGTGGACGCCCTCTGCCCCATCTAGGGGACATAGGACCATAAGTCAAGTAAAAGTAAGTCATCCTGTAACGAGCGTAGGTCCTCTAAATTCAAATTCAAATTCAATAATTTATTTGCTAGAATACATAATTACATGCCCGTTTTACAAGGCAGATCTTATAGTTAATATGATTCCCATGTATTCGGCCTGCAAGCAGACGTACAAATATTTTATCAGTCAGATTATTATTTAACATACAATGTCACAAATCAAATTAATGTATTAATATTTCCGTATAATAAATTTACAATGTCAAAAGTTAAATGTAGATGTCACAATAAAATTCATACACTATTGCACTATCTATTTAAGTTAAAATATTCGTCAATGCTATAAAAACCATGGCTCAGTAACCAATTTATCAATTTCTTCTTAAATACATTCCCTTCAAGTACTTTTAGTTCTTCAGGTAAATTGTTATATATTTCTATACACATATTATAAACATTTTTCTTATATATTACTTTGTGGCATTGGGGTTTAAACAATAGGTTTGCGAATTTAGCTCTTTTTTGACGGGTTATCACATCACTGCGTTATCACATCATCTAGTAGGGAGTGTAGGTCATCCAGTAGGGAGTGTAGGTCCTCTTTTAGGAACCGCAAGTCCTTATGTAGGGAGAGCCTTCCTGGTGGTCCTAACTAGTAGGACAAATTAGTAGGACCACGAGGAAACAGGGGTATGTGGTTGTGGAAGTCCTCTAGAAAACGTAGGTCCTCCTTTGAANTCCTAGATAGATTGAAATATTTGGGCTAGTGATTTATGCGGTAGTCTGTCTGACCGTAACGTAAGGCTAGGTTGCACCACCTAACTTTAACATTAACTATAACGATAACCGGTGTGTTTTGTATGGAGTTTGGCAGATTTCTGACGTTTGTTAAACTTAATGTAAGATGATGCCTTTTTTTTACGTCGGGAAATGCTTTGCGCATACCCACTGGTCTGGGGACGGCCAGTGGGTGATGTGGGACTCTCCCCGCCTACCCACTAAAAGCGGGACCTATACCCACTAAAACCCGACGGTTTCCACCAATGCCCAAAGAAACAGAGCCGAAAGTTAGTAGCGCGGGAGGGTTGATATTGACATAAATTATGACGGGACAGAGTATAAAAATCTGAAGGGAAACTCCTTCCCGTTCTGCTCCCATACCTCAGGCACTATGATCTTTGGAAACATGACGGTGATAATAATGCTTAATTCAATACAACATACATCTGTTTCCGCAATTTATTACACCGATCTTGTCGCGACAAGGAAAAATTTCCGTGCTTTTAAGCGATTTTGTGAAACATGTTATTGGCAGGTAGTTGCTAATTGCTCATAATATGGCCCCCTTATTGATGTTTATATTCCGTGGTGCATAATCTTTTCTTAAAGGTTTCAAACCTTTGTTTGTCATATGTCATCCGCTTTACAATGGAAGGAAGTCTAACCTTAATTTCGAACTCCTCCTATGTTCTTCTGATAAATTTCGTTGCGGGTCCAATGACAGTTTAACTTTCCCCGGGACAAACTTGACCTTCATTGGTTGCGTTTTTNCCTTTGAAAAGTGTAGGCCCTCCAAACAGAGTGCCTGTAGGGCCGTTCTTCTAGTCTGCAGTACCTAGGTTTGTAATTTATTTATCTTCTACATTCTAAATCATTCAGGTACCTAATGCCCGTTTTCACCATCAATCCCTAATTTTTAAGTGACCCCTATGAAAACAAAATGCCTGTTACCCTGTTATGTGTTACCATAGGGGTCACTTAAAAATTAGGGATTGATAGTGAAAACCTACTCATATTGTTAACAGTCACCAAGGTTGGTATAATGACTGTAATAATATTTAGCATTAAAATCTGGCTCAGAAATAGAGTCATCCTCACAGTGCGGTTGAGTGTGGTCATGGGCTGAATATGAAGTTTGGTTCAAAGACAAGCCTCAAAGGGACCATCTTGGGTATAAGGTATACTTAACCACAAAATTGCGTAATATTTTTTAGAACTTTTTTTGGAAGACCATTTTTCAGGAATTGCTAGTGATTGCTATTATAAATTACACATGAACATTCCATTCATTAGTATAGAGTCTAGTACCCTAGTACTCTAACAGTTAAATACTAAGTTTTTAAGAGAATGCATGTTTTACTATATCTTAAATTAGTAAACAGCTACAATGTTTGTGTTTGTAAGGCTGAGTTGCACCATCTTACTTTAACTTTGACAAACGTCAAAAATCTGTCAAACTCCATACAAAAAGCACCGGTTGTTATCGTTATAGTTACCGATATAGTTAGATGGAGCAACCCAGCCTATGTGTTTTTGTTTCCAATAAAAATAATTTACTTATGAATTTTATTTATTTAAATGATAAGTCTTGGTGTTTTAGACGCTTAAAACAATTCACGCGTACGAAGTAGAAATCTCATTAATTTGAAAGTCTTTAAATGCCAGCTATTAAACTTCAGTCTTCCAAAGCGCTAAATTATTTAAAAATCTCGTCAAAACTTATCAAATCATACTAAAGCTTTTGATCCATCACTAATTTATTGAATCATTTCATATTCCAAGCTTCATTGACCCCCTCTTTACAGCTGAAGTTAAAACAGTAAGCTCTCTCTAATGGGTCACACAAACCACACGATGGAAAGGCCCATCAGGGAAAAGAAATATTGGAAGACCATTGAGACGGTGCGGTGGGCTGTATTGTTCAAGTAGCAGGAAATGATTGGATAAATTCCAGTAAAGACAGAGAGCTATGGAAGACGATGGAGGAGGCCTTTACCCTTACAGAGGTCCATATTTCAATCATAGATACTAATTCAAGTAACTAACATAATTTAAGGAAAGTTACTAACAACATTTGAAATGTAAAATAGAAATATGGAAATGGCTTTATTATTATTATTATAATGGGTCACTCGTTGGAAGCTTCGACCAAGATTCAAATCTACGATGAGACACACACATTGAAAAAATATTACGCCGGACTTGTGCTTCAACAACGCGTGCAGATCGCCATCGCCGGCGCGATCATAGGCCAATGACAGGTCGCGCGGAATGTCATGATGGGTCGCGCGGCGTCTTTCCGTTCTATACGACATGGCCAGAACGCAGCCATTGAAAACTGCTCGTGTATATTTTGTAAATGCTATTTGTAAAGTATACACGAGCAGTAGGCATGTAGTGCGTACTGCTCGTGTATGATTTGGAAGAGCTTAGTAAAAAAGACATTTCCAAACTACACTCGATTAGTTACACAGGGCGTTCTGGCTATGTATAGAATAGAAAGACGCGGTCGCGCGACCTGTCACTGGCCTATGATAGCGCCGCGTTGGTGTGGTTGAAGCTTTACTATGCCACTGGCCGGAATCATGCATAGGAGATCAAATAACGAAATCAGATTGGTTATTTAAAACACACCCCTCTTATCTCCATCTCCTGCCCTCTCCACTTTGGTGCATGAAAATTGGACCTAATTTATAATCATTGGTCGTATTCTTAAAAAAAATAGGATGCAGCTTATTTATTTAATTGAATCGTTTACTGCAATAATAGTGTGTGTGTGGTAAAGCTGAAGTGGCAATGGGTAGGGCACATAGTACGCAGAACTGACAGTCGATGCGGCAGCAAGGTTCTGGGGTGGAGGCCACGTACCGGAAAGCGCAGCGTAGGACGTCCACCTACTACAAGATGCATCGACGACCTCATAAAGTTAGCAGGAAGGCACTGGATGCAGGCCGCCACCAACAGGCCATTGTGGAAATCATTGGAGGAGTCCTATGCTGAAATGATGATGATGATGTTTTATTTTCTTTACCGTCGATCACTCATAGAAGAGGGCCTTCTGTATTATTCCTCTTTTACAACCCAACTTAAACTTTAAAGCGCATTTTTATGTGGCAGTAACTTTAAAATATGAGCGCTCAGTTTAACTAGCCGTTTAAAAAAGATAAATCTTCTATTTTTATTGAACTGAGGATATGGCGATGAAATTTCGTTCATGGTTATCTCTACTGATTTTTTATTATTTATGTTAACTGTAATTTTTTATTTCCCTTTTTTCATTCGCTATAAGATTTTGAACGATTGAAGATAATTCACCCATAATTATGTAAAGACTTTAATGAATATTTTGAGTTATATTTGAATGATTCATTCGGAATGCAAGAAAATAGATTTATTTTTTTGGACATCAAAAACACAGACACAAAATCTACGAGAAAGATCAAGAAATCAGCAGTGCAAAAGTTGATCCAATGATTCAACAATCGCAAGCATAATAATTTAATCTAAGAAATAATGATCATTT